TGCCACGGCGACGGCGGGGATGCTGCGGGCTCCCCCCCTCACCCTGGGCTGGGACCTTCGGGCTACTGAGGGGTTTCAGCGAGCTCCGAGGGATCTGGAGAGCTGGGGGGTTCCTAGGAAATTGGAGGGCTCCCAGGGGCACTGCTGGGAACCCAGGGGACTGTTAGGGGGATGAGTGGCTCCTGGGGTGCTTCTAGGAGTCTGGGATGGGATCCTGGTAGATGGAGAGCTCTTGGGGAGCTCCTGGAGGTCTGAGGAGCTGGGAGAACTGCTAGGAGGCCAGGAAGCTGGGAGATTATTAGGGAGCTCTGCTGGCAGTTCCGCCCCTCCAGCACACTGGGCAAGCTCCAGACCCTGCCTGGCTACCAGCATCGCCTGCTTATGTCAGAGCCTCTCCTGGCTACCAAGGGAACGGATTTGGCTCTTCCAGATCAGGGCCAGCAGGAAGCAGTGGCAGGGAGTTGGCAGCCCTCACCAAGAGCTAACCTTCTTCCACAGCTGTCAAGGCACTTGGAGATATCTTGGAGCTGCAGAGAAGTCATCCCACAGTCAGTGGCCATGTGCCTCTCTCCAAGTGAGACCCCCTTGCCCTTGCACTGGCTCCATTTTTCCAGCTCCTTCCTGCTCCACATTTTTGACTTTTGTGATGTCCAGCCTTCAGAAGCTGTGATTTGAGGCAATAACAGAGGGGACACAGGACAGATCACCTACTCACAAGAACTACGTGGCTTCCTCAGGGTTTATCCATGATCCAGACATCCAGAGCCATGTCCATGCAGCCAGGAGCATGAAAAGTGCCCATTGTGGGGAAACTGAGGCAGGGCCAGAGAAGGAGCTTGCTGAAAGTCAGAGCTGGATGGAGCTCTACTGGGCTTAACCCACACACTCTGACATCTCACAGAGAGATTCAGAATCACCCAGTATAACTGGGATGGCTCCTGGGGGGAGCAGGGGTGACCCATGGTTTCACAGGACCTACCTGAACTGAGCTCCCCTATGGGCAGCCCAGGGCTGGAGGTGTGCGCCGATGTTTCTAATTCAAAGGAACCTATTTAGCCTACGAAAAGGGTCCCCACGTCTCCCAGCACCCCACATCTCTGCAACTCCCATAGTGCAGGGCCCTCCTGTACCCACGCATGTCCTCTCTGTCCCAGACACGCCTGCACAAACACAGTCAGACACGTGCAAACAAACATACACACAGGCACAGACGGGGATGATGTCACCAGCACACACACGCTGACAATTTGCTGTTTATTCATAGACGTGCTTGAAGACACATGGGCCAACTTGTACACCCACGAGGGGCTCACACACATGGTGATGAGCGTGTGCACAAGCTCACACGCACACCTATGGTCGTGAACACGCGGAGACGTGTTGCCTGCATGCGTACACACATGCACACTGAGCCGCTTGCATGCAGAGGTCCCTTCACCTGCACCCACCCCTGCTCACACCCACCCACGTGTTTCCATGGGCAGGCGTGTGGCCAGGCATTCCCAGGAGCCCCGTTTGCCTCCCAGTGCTGCTGTGGGTGAGCCAGGAGGGAATTTCCAGCTTGGAGGCTGCAGCTGGCAGATTTAGAGGCTCCTCCCCCAGCGCTGTGCCATTAACTGGGCCAAGTTAATGGTTCACCAGCACCCTGCTCCCCTTGCCCTCACCCACTGGCTGCCTGGCTGTGGGTGAGGAGGGACCCACTGGTGCTCCCATTTGCCTTCCAGTGTGCCCAGGGCTCCGCTCCTGCTCTGCCTCCTCAGGGGCTCCTCTGCCCAGCGTGGCACTGCCAGCCAAGCCCTTCCCCTCTGCTGTTACCTAAACCCCCAAGCTGGGGAAGGCTGGAGAAACCAGTTCCTGTGGGCAGCATGGCAGAGAGCCCCCCGGAGCCTCTGGAGCCGGGGGATGACAGCCTGCCCAGCTGGGCAGCCAGGCGGGCTGCTCCTTGCCCCGTGTTTGCCAACGAGGGGCACAGGCTGATCAGGTTACCAAGACATGCCTGGCACCGTGCCGGCCAGGTGAGGCTGCACGTGGCCCACGGCAGGCCAAGCGAATGCCTCGCGTGCCACCATGCCAACAGTGCCAGCACCACACAGGGCTCCCCCGTGCCAGGCTGGTGGCGGAAGAGGGAGTGGAATGAGAGGACACCTTCAAGACAGCCCATCACCACGGGCTAACTGTACCCCCTGCATGAGGGGGGGAGCGAGGGGACTGTGGACTTGCAGTTCAACACAAATATTCTAGGTCAGGTGGTAGTGGGACACATACTGGCATGTCCAAGCGATGGTGGCCATGGATGATGGGAGGAGAGCACCCACCCGGCCTGGGGGCTGCAGAGTGGGGCTAGAGAGTGCTTGGCATCATCCACACTCGTCTCCTGGCTCTGCAGTGGCAGAGAAAAGCAAAGAGTGAATGAAAAACGACTCGTTCAGGTCCCAACGTGAACAGGAGGCTTGGGGAGTCTGGCAGAGCGGGGGACTCACGGCTGGGGCAGGAGGGGTCTCCAGCCGGTCCCTTCCCAGTACAGCAGTCCGTGCTTCCCAGCCCTCCCCAGGAAGCGCTGCAGCACACCAGCTTTAAACAGCTTTATTAGTGGAAGCTCTGCACCCGCAGCCCCCACCGTGGGGACCAAGGGGATGCCAGGCAGTCCCACACTATCCCCTGGGAAAGCCAGGTCTCCCCAGGGCGCAGAGCTGGGCTCACCCCCGCTGTCTCTGCCATCGGCTCAGTCTGTCTCTGTCTCGGGGAGGAGCGGGCGCAGCGTGAGCCTGGGGGTGGCCCCCCGAATTGTCCTCGCCCGACCGCCGGCTGTCAGACGCAGAGGCTGAGCTCCTGACGGACGGAGCACTTGCGGCACTGCACCACGCAGCACCAGTGGAAGCGGCAAAGGCAGTTCTCCTCCAGCACCACCGTCTCGTCCCGGTGCCCTCGCCCGCAGCACAGCAGGTCGCACCCACTCGTGTCCATGGCTGTGCTGTTGCACACGCGTCCTCGGGTGCCCAGCGAGCCCGTCTTACGGTTAGCCGAGCAGAAATCGGGTGAGTCGGCCGAGTAGATGAGGTCCTGCTTGTCAGGAGGTTTGATGTTGTCGCCCACGGGGATGAGGGTTTTCCCGTCGTTGCCTCCCATCACTTTGAAGGCCCCATTGAAGCGCTCGAGGAGGCGGTCTCCCACCTCGCGGAAATGGGGCATCTTGCGCCAGCAGGTCCGCAGGGTGCAGGACCCCGACAGCCCGTGGCATTTGCACTCTGTCCTCATGTAGCTGCGCACCGCCTGGGGAAGAGAGGGCGATGCTCAGCCCTCGGTCCCCCACCTCTCTGCTCAGCACCCCCAGCCAAAACCCTGCCCCGGTCGGAGGGAGGGTGCTGGGGGGGCACAGGGGGTTCCCAATGCACCTTCAAGGGGCTTCTGAAAGCTATTGGGTCCACACTTCCCCCAAAGTTGGTGCAGGTACATGGTTTGGGGGAGATAAAGGTGGAGAGTTGAGCTGGATAGGGGCACCGGGGGAGTGATGCATGCAGAGGGCAGGGGGCACGGGGCCTTACCAAGCGCCCAGCTTCATTGTTGTGCAGGTCGATGAGAGCTCGGATGTCATTTTTGCCTTTCTTGCTCTTGGCATCCATGAACTGTTGGGATTTCTCGTAGCCGAACTGCACATCATCCCCGCAGCCGCCCCATTCCCAGGCCGTGCCCTCCATGCCCGGACCCACCGTGGGCGAGGGGGGGGCCCGCCCGCGTCAGCGCGCCGCCGCACTGCAGCAGCTCGCCCATGCTGCAGGCCTGCGTGATGGCGTGGCTCACGCCGGCTGCCGTGATGGCGTACACGAAGGCCGTCTCCCGGATATCTGCAGGAGAACAGAGAGGGCCGGTATGCAGGGTCAGTTCTGGCAAAGACTCTGTGAGCAAAGCGTACCCGTGTCACATCCCATGGGGGCTCAAGCCTCCCGTTCTCCCCCTCTGTCTGTGCTCCGTGCTGTTCCTGGGGTGATGCACCCACCCTGGAGCAGGCTGCCTGGGGCAGGAGCTGTCTCCTGCAAGCAGATATGCAGAATTTGGGGGATGACCAGGCCCTGCCAGCATTCCTCCACCCCCACTGTATGGTCCTAGGGGCAACAAATCTCCTGCCTCCCCTTGCAAGGATGAGTGCTGCCCCATGGCTAGAGGGTTGCTCAGAGAGCAGGGGAGTCCCCGGTACCCAGGTGGTAACCACAACTTCCCCACACTGCCCTGCAATGTCCCCCCAAGCAGTAAAAATCCCATCCCAGCTGCAAGCTGGAGAGACATGCTGCGAGGGACACCACGGGTGCCACTCACCCCTCTGCAGGGTGACAGCGATGACGCTGTGCTGCCAATTCTCCCCCCATACCCGCTTTGCCACAGGGCGCTGCCTGCCCCCCTCCCTCCGCCAGCACAGCCTCCACCCTGCAGGATTATTTATTATTAGTATTTGCTCCTGTCTCTCTCTGCTCCGGGACACGAATTCCAAGCATCTTTCCCCTGCCCGGACCTGCCGGTACCCCTGGGGGCATTCTGGCAGTGGGGGTGCGGCACCCTGCTGGGGGGGCTCCCGCGCTCCCCCCACCCGCCCTGTGCCAGCCGAATCCCTGCCCACCCGAATGCCAGCGTAGGGCTGGCCCAGGGTGGTGACACGCAGGGCGTGCCTGGGGCATGGGGACAGAGGCATGTTTTGGGGAGTGCCCCATCCCTCCATCTCCAGCACTCTGACTTGGGGGGGCTGTGGGAAGAGGGGTTCCTGGGCACCGGCTCCACGAGCCCAGGCAGCACCTGATTCCCAGCGGTGCTGGTAGGAACTGGGCACGCTTTCCCAGCAGTGCCACCCTGGGGACAGGGGTCCCCTGCCCTGGCCC